TATATAATAATATTACGTAATAAAGTGTAAAGTGTACGAGTAGAGTACGAAAATTCAAATTTTGTTTCAATATGAGTGCATGATAACCAACATATATAAATACTTTTTATTCAAAACTCAAAATTTAAATATAAAAATATATGTACTGTCACCTAAAATATAAAACCATGTGTAATCAAAAATAAATGGAAATCGCTGACAGATATATTAACTAAAATTTATCCATTTTATTACGAAAACTCCCATTTTTTTATTTCAATATAAGTGCATGATAACCAAAAAATATAACCACTTTATAACAAAAACTCAATCTATTTTTTTATTTACGAGGAAGTACTTCAGTCACCCCGGGTATTCGCTCGGACAAGGTTATTTTTTTTGAGCGCGGCCAACGCAGAAGGAGTATAAAATTGTAATATGTATATAAAAAATGTTATATTACAACCATGTAAATAGTGTAATATAATATATATATATATAATCCACGATTTTACTTATCTGTGTTTATTAAATATAAATCACATATTATTCATATATTCATATATGTATATATATGGAAAAGTGTTCACATATTAAATTTTAGCTTGAAAAATCTTCTTAATCGTTGTTTTTTCATAGTTAATAAAGAAAAAAGAATCACTCGAAAGTACAAACAAAGGAAACGCTTAAAAATTCTTCACTTTTGGGTTTTAAGGTTTAGCAAAGTTGGTTTACTCGTAAACATAAACACTGTAAACTTTTCAGCCATAAATTTGATAAATCATTTTTAAATTACTAAATTTAGCTGAAAAATTACATAATACAAATGTGAAATGTGAGCTTATTTCAATGCTTGGAGAGTATATTTAAATATAGGTACGTAAAAAAATAAGATGTGTTCTTAGTGCAAATTTTTGATTTTTAAAAACGTGAATATTTTAAAAAATATTGGTTATTTTTATTTTGTTTTTAGATATTCCTCCTTTATCCGCACATACCCCACTTCTACGGAAATTCGATTTTTTTGCCCCTCCGCCAAAGTAATCGGAATCGTGTCAAAATGGCAAACAAGATTTCTTTTTAGTTTTGTGGCCTGCAAACGATCAGGTCTCAAAATGAGACAATATTTTGAGTGAATAGTAACTAGATACAAATTGAGACTTTACCTCAGAATGTCTCAAATAGACACCAGAGACTGCTACAGAATCGCGCTATAATCGTACGATTCTGAACTGTGATACAGTATCAAGTCTCTAGAGATAATTAGAAAATTTTTGAGATTCGAGGCGATTTTGCTATTTTGTAAGTGACAGTCACAAAATCTATTACATTGCATTATTCAGAGATGTTTTTATACTTGAATGAAAATAAATATGTCGATAACAAATATTAAATTTTCTATAACATAGTCAAAAAGCATAATTATCTTTGTTTCATAACATTAACGAAATTTATGTAAAATTTATTTATTTTTAACCTTTTCGTGTTTGAGGTGCTTACAAAATATAAAAAAAAACGACAATCGATTAATATCAATGGTGATCTCTATTCAGTATACGCAAATTAGCAGACAAGAGTTCTTTTTGGTTTTGTGAACTGCTAATTACCAGATCTCAAATTTGAGGCAATATTTTGAGACTAAAGCTAGAGAGTTTAGTGAATAGTAACTAGTCACAAATTGAGATTTTACTTCAAAATGTCTCAAATAGAAACTAGACTGGTTACAGAATCCCGCTATGTGTTCTTATTTTTGATATACATACATATGTACTTAAGTATGTATGTATTTGATATTGTATATTTGTATTATCTTTATACATAAAATATGTACATATGTATATGCTGCTAAAAATATGTTATATTTACTCACGTGTACTGGAAAGCTCCTCTGCTACCTCTACCCATGCCGCTTCTGTGCAATTTCTGTTACAATACTCTTTGAGCGTATTGTTGTACAAACATGGATACTTTTCTACAGTCTCCACCAATCGTATACTAATTTTTTTGTTTACATCCATTGTCGAAATTCAGTTCAAAACTAAAAGTAAAATTTCTAAAACATACACGACAATAACAAGATCGGGATGAATGGAAACGTCGACACGGACATATACGCAACTGCACAACTTGTTTACTCTCATGTGCTGAACACATAGAGAGAGACAGACTGCCAGCTACATCTGTCAAATATTAAAATACACACGTTCTTATGGACACAGTTATTTAGACAGCTGCACTACTGCAGGCACTCAGTTGTCGTTCTCGCTAACTTGAAAATAGTTTTAAATTTGCCGACGACAGTAGAGGGGAGTAATGCGACTAATATGTAAAATGTAGAATTATTCAAAGCTCTAACAAACATTACGTTATTTTACAAAGAGAAGCATAAAATAGGTCTGTTATATCATTTGTAATAACATCAAACATTTGCATCAAAAATTTCACTTTGAAAAAAAAAAAATATTAAAATTTCATTGATGTGAAATTGTGTACATATGTATATTATATTCGGAAATGTATCAAACAGACCCATCACCACGCCGCCTATGCAACTGATTTTTCTTGTAGATTTTATAGCTGCCTTTTCATTTAGATTTTAACCAAGACTCATTCTATGAGTAAAGTTTACTAGAGCATAAATGACAGGCATCTATTAACCAGATATTGAGAAATTTTGTCAAAAGTTTAGCCTGTAGTCGTAGCGATATGCAGTATATCGACACTGGCAACCAGAGAACGTTTATGATAGACCATCTCCTTGGCAACTCTACGTTGTAAAAGAGCAATTAGCTGACTCGTTTCTCCGGGAAAAATTCAGTTTGTGGGAAATTTAAAGATAATAGGGCCCATACATGTGCGTTCGATCTGTGTGAATTCGTTTCGCCCATACACGACACACAAATCCATTTTGCGGTCGTTCTTCACACCATGGATAATATGATACGAGACTCTGGCATTGGTTCTCATTTTTCTCTCAAACGCGTTACCTGATTATTTGACAGCGAAGGAGATCAAGGAATTTCGATAAGCTGATTTCAGGAAAGGCAAGATGCCAGAAGTAAACCGCCATAATTACCTGACGTAATTAGTGTGAAATGAAATTCCATTGAACTGTGCGAACATATTTTGGCAAAAATAAATGTTTATGTAAATTAATTAATGATTTTGCATTTTCGCATTACGCATATATGCATTTTCAAAGGGTTTAATTTAGTGTTTTTTGTATAATTTATTAAATACCCAATCAAATATTTTTCAGCAGGGCATCATTGACAGCTCTCTCAAATCAAATCAAAGAGTCTCGTATCATATTATCCATGCCCTGATTGTGTTTTGTTGCCAGCTCAGAAAACAGATCAGGATGATCTGCCAGCTGACAAGCAAGAGAGCAAGAACGGAGATTCTGATCAAGTCATCTATGTCTCGTATCATATTATCCATGGTAACTGTTCGCTTTACGAAATTCGACATTCCTTTTATAGTTTTAAAACGTTCGGTATTAAAAGAATACTTACCATCTGTTAAACAATTTCAATGTTATTAAAAAAGAAATGTTTTAGAAAAGGGTGGATAAGAATTAAGTAATAACAAGTAAGGAAGGGCTAAGTTCGGGTGTCACCGAACATTTTATACTCTCGCATGATAAAGTGATAATCGAGATTTCAGGCGTGGTTGTGAACCGATTTCACCCATATTTGGTACATGTCATCACGGTGTTAAGAAAATATTATATACCGAATTTCATTGAAATCGGTTGAGTACTTCCTGAGATATGGTTTTTGGTTCATAAGTGGGCGACGCCACGCCCATTTTCAAATTTAAAAAAAAAACCTGGATGCAGCTTCCTTCTGACATTTCTTCCGTAAAATTTAGTGTTTCTGACGTTATATGTTAGTCGGTTAACGCACTTTTAGTGATTTTCAACATAACCTTTGCATGGGAGGTCGGCGTTGTTATTGTCCGACTTCTTCCATTTTTGAACTGTATATGGAAATGCCTAAAGGAAACGACTCTATACAGTTTGGTTGACATAGCTATAGTAGTTTTCGAGATATGTACAAAAAAGTTAGTAGGGGCCGGGGCCACGCCCATTTTTCCAAAAAAATTACGTCCAAATATGCCCCTCCCTAGTGCGATCCTTTGTGCCGAATTTCATTTTAATATCTTTATTTACGGCTTAGTTATGACATTTTATAGGTTTTCGGTTTCCGCCATTTTGTGGGCATGGCAGTGGCCGATTTTGCCCATCTTCGAACTTAACTTTCTTATGGAGCCAAGAAATACGTGTACCAAGTTTCATCATGATATCTCAATTTTTACTCAAGTTACAGCTTGCACGGACGGACGGACAGACGGACGGACGGGCAGACAGACATCCGGATTTCAACTCTACCTGATCACCCTGATCACTTTGGTATATATAACCCTATATCTGACTCTTTTAGTTTTAGGACTTACAAACAACCGTTATGTGAACAAAACTATAATACTCTCTTTAGCAAGTATAAAAATATTTTTGTTCTCTGCGAACACGAAGCGTACAAGAATTTGGAAATGCGATATGGAAGAAAATTGTCTTATCAAGTTGCCGGACTCGTGTTGCTTGTGTGAAAACAATGAGCGACAACTCACGAAAATGTGTAGCGTGGGAATGTGTTAAAATAATGGAAACGTCGCAATAACTTCACAACTTTCAAAATCTACTAATTGGTAGTTAATGAATTTAGGTATTGTTTTCATTTAATATTTCATCAATTAATTGCAGAACTCTGAACTTAAATTGTCGCATTTGTGAGTTGGTCATTTCGTTAAGATCTGGCAATAAGCTTAATACAAATTGTTTTTTCGGAGTTTCTCTAGACATGGTTTGGTCGCGTTGCTCATTATATGTCACGGGTGTGGACGCAGCATGCATTAATGTAGAATTCGTAATTTTATTGTTAACCATATTATTCTCCGTGAGTTCACTTTGTCGAGATTTAGACACCATATAATTATCGAATTCTGGTCCACCTTCGTCCTCCGAGTTCACTGCTACCTTAATTTTTTTTAGAGCATATTTTTCATTTGGTTCATTATTTTCGAGATAAATTGGGTCTTGACTGTATACTGGCAGGTCTTCAATGATTTCAATATCTTCAGTACTATGTTCCGATCCAGTCCCATATTCCTCATCTGGCTCTACATCTATTTGTCTAACTGTTCTCTTTAATGCTCCAGGTTCATATGTTTTCTTCAAATATGGTATTATATATTTCATGTGATCGTATAAGTAATACTGTTGTACGGGTTCGCCCATTTTCATTTGCTTTAGTTTTCTGACTAAAATACTCCTGAAATTTTGCCATTTTTTCTGCGCGGCTTTTGCTAAAATAAAGAGAAAAATTCAAATAGTTTTTTTTTGTCATAAACATATAAGAAAATATCTTTTTTTGTAATGCAAACAACTTAGCGTTTTACGTTAACGTTACTATCCGAGTTAACAATTTCTTACTTAATATGAATATCACTGACTTATTAATTCTGACAATTAATCGTCCTTTCTATTTTGTTCTTGTATTTGTGTTCGTCACATCATGTATATTCTTCATTAGGACGGTAATAAAAATTAAAAAATTCCTATTTATAATTAAGCTATTAAAAGTAACTTTAAAAAGGCAGGAATGTCTTAGGTAGAAAAAATTGCCTTTCTGTGAAAGGTTAATCCAAATACTAAATTATCATATGCACATGGCTTAAAAAAAATACAGAAACCGTAAATTTTATACAATTTTACGTGTATAATTTTCAATCCACCTTGAATTGTGATATCTTTAATAACTATTGTAAGAGTCCATGCCTAAGAACATACATCAATTCAGAATCTTGTGCATCGAAGTGTGCAAAATTATGCAATTGCAAATATTCACCATCAACAATAAACGGCTTTTTGTGTGGTTTCTGTGTAACCCTTGCAAAGACCATTAATTCACAGCTGATCGGTGAAGAAAAACATTGTTTATAAACAAAATTTTTGCACAAATTGGAAAATATGCCGAAAAAAGGTTTTATGGAAAAATTTACTGACGTTTTATTTGATAAAGTTGCTGAACAAGTAAGAAATATTTGTATACGGCAAATAGCACAAATTTCACTTTTACTTCTGGAGACCATTTGCAGCAGATTTTGAATTGCCCTCATGTAAATTACATTAAACTCGCTTGACTTTTCTATTTGATTTATTTATGCATATATTCCGATTCTTTGCCGCCCCAATCTGAAGGTACCGTTGGAAATAAAAAGTTTGCCTGATTTAATACTCTTTACGCAAGTCTTTTGACCTCAAATTAATTAAATTGTAAACATTTAATCAAATTCACACTTTACACTTTTCGCACATTTTTAAGTAAGAAAATTAGTATAAACAATAATTCATATGAACATAATATTTAAATTTAATAAACAAATAAGTAATATTATTATATGTAATTATATTACGTACAAAAGTGTAATTCAGAGAAAGTACTACGCGAAAGTACTTTAGTCACACACAAATCTCTTCAAACTTTCGAGTGGGCAAAATAGTTCTTAAAGTATATTTATTTTCTTAAAAAATATACAATTAGTGTACATTTTTGATATAAATATGATATATATTAAATATATACCTAATAACTAAAAAATGTGTGAAAACTGGGTTAAACATAGTGAAATAACGAGCATTGTTTCTAAAAATTTTTGAACTTTAAAGTGAAAAATGTCGAAAACTGAGAACCTCCTCTATCCATCCGTACCATCAAATCGCGGCGCCGAAAGAATTGTAATATTGCCCATTTAAAGCTTGAGAAATGTTGGAACATTAATATTTATAGTTAATGAAAAAAAAGAGAATGTACAAATAAAGGAAAATCCTTCATATTTGGTTTTTAAGCTGTGGTTATGCTCGTTTTCCTTATAATTGTAATCTAACCTTTTCAACTATTAGTGTGCTAAGTGATTTTTAATTTAGTAAATTTAGTCAAAAGAAAACAAGTTAAAAGAGAAATGTGAACACCTGAACTTCGTTTAAAGGTAATCGGATTTTGTTTGAATTTGTACGGGCACAAATCCGACCTTGCCATTCGGACCCACAAACATAAATTAAAATTGTAAACAATGCCAATAAGGAAAGACCTCTTCTCATACACATAGTACTTATACATTTTTGATGGTGCTTAAAAATTATAGACTCGAAACATTGTCACAAGTCGTACTGCGGAAAGTAAGTAAATCTTTTCAGTTGGGCAAGTGCATGTTTCTGTCAACACACTTCAGGGTAATGAAACGAAACTGTCATCATACTTATGTATATAATTGTTGGACTATCACCATCTTTACAACTTAAGAAGTTGAATAACATATACATATGTACTTACGATCACAGTCTAACTCTTCTGCCACATCTATCCAAGCTCTTTCTCTACAATCTCTTCTTGTATATTCTTTTAAATTAGTGTTGTACAGAAGAGGATATTTTTTCACACATTTTACTAATCTAATATTAAATTTGTGATCTTGTAGTCCATCCATATTGATAACCAAAATAAAACATACACTCTCCAAAATAGGGCACGAATATATTCAACTAAACGCAGTAATGATTAAGAGACTACACGACAAACTGCATACTTCTATTTCAACAATCGTACAACCCTCAGTCGGACACAAACGTACAGATATGCGCCATTATGTTCCAATTCTGTGTTCTGTAAATACATAGACATACGGCTATGTACTCTGAAGTTTTACACTTGCAAGTACAGAAGTTTCCTAATGGAATTTGTAGAACATTAAAGTATTTTCATGTGAAAACTGTCCAAATTTTACAAATGCACGCATTTAATTATTTTGTTGCCATTCTGTAAGAATTCGTTTTGTGACATCTGTCGGACAACATACGTAAATCGTAATTGTTTGTGTGTTTCAGAGTCACTCTGTACGACTGTTATCTAATTATTCATGCTTTCAACAGAAAGACAATTTCTCGACACGTCGCCCTATTCTGAGAGGTTATTCCTGCTCATACCTCACAAGAAAAAAGCACAAAGCACTCACCACATGAGTTGAAAAACACTTTGGTGAAGAAATGGAACACCAAGAAAAGTAAGTAATTTCGCAAATTTATCAAATTGGGTGCATACATATTAATTTAGTTTATTTTTAGGATTTCGAAATTTGAAAGAACAACTTAGGAGCAGCTGCAGCATTATAGTATATTATTKAAACATAAATATATTTTTATTCGCACATGTATTAAATATTAGATAAGAAATAATAAGACAAATAAGATCTTGTCCAAATTATTTAAACATAAATATATTTTTATTCGCACATGTATTAAATATTAGATAAGAAATAATAAGACAAATAAGATCTTGTCCAAATTATTTAAACATAAATATATATATTTCTTTTTTATTCATACTCAGAATGAAGTAAAATGTACAAAGATTGTAAGTTAGATATTTATTGTAATAGGCAAATGCTTAAAATGTCACTGTTGATGTTTTCGGCGATATTTTGTTTTTGGAATATCCCTTAACAATGTCCAGCAGTAATCGGCAAGCAAACTGTCACTCCACTTGCTTTGGTACCGTTTCTCCATAGCAGGAATGTCTTGGTGGAACCGCTTCGTCAATTACGGCCCCTAAATTTTCGGGAAAAATCCAGATGGAAGTCTAGAATGTGAAATAAATTTTTAACAACGCTTTTACAGGCACTCCAGGCTCGTATCTCAATTTCATTTTTTCAAATGTTTTATCTATCATTAGTTCTGTAATTGGCGGACCCACAAATATGCCATCCTTAATTTTTGCTTCACTCACTCATGGAAATTTTTATTTCAGATACAAGAACCCGCTCTGTACTACCAACTTAAAAAAGAAAAAATTTACCGTTTCGAAAACAAGCATAACAAGTATAAATTAATTCAAATTATTCACCTTTCAATTTGATCACTAAAGCAGCAAGTTGCAGAATATTACAGAATATCAGAATATCTGTGGTGATAAATTTTGTTTTCAAATTTGACTTCAGGGTATCAAACTGCATCAGAATACACACACCTAAGAATGTACCTGTCACAAATTATTTATCAAAAGACCAAGCGGTCGCACATATTTATGTATGTACATATGTATGTAATTATGTGTGCATGTAACTGTATTTACAATATATGCATGCGCTTTTTGCCCTCATTTGCATATTAAATTTTTTTGTTGTATGTTTTAATGGAGATTTGGTTATGTTTTAGTGTGAAAAATGTAGTTATCTACTGATTGAAAAATAAACTATAAGTTGGCGGCGGCAATAATAATGGAGCACCAGCTCCATCCAACCATACCACTTTTAACCCTGAAATCGTGGGATACTATTCTAAAGCTGGCCCAAATTTAGTAAATATTATGAAAAAAAGTCAACATATACTTTTATTTTTATTTACATTATGTTTTTTGACTATGTTATAGAAAATTTAATATGTGTATAGACATATTTATTTTCATTCAAGTGTAAAAACATCTCTGAATAATGAAATGTAATAGATTTTGTGATAGTCACAGAATAGCAAAATCGTCTCAAGTCTCAAAAATTGTCTCTAACTTAAAAACTCAAATTTAGAGAGTTGAGACTGTATCACAGTAGAAATTCTCACGGTTATATACATATATATGTACCAAATTTATAAGACTTGCGGAATTACTCACTTTTCTTTATTTAGTTGTTTGTTTTTGTAAAATAGCTTTTTCACAGCGAAGACAAATCTCCCACAATTCCCACGACAGCCGGTTCTTTGCACCGGAATTGACCCGGATTTTATCCGGCCAAGGGTTGTTTTTTCGGCGGTGTAACCCCGGTTTAATCGGCAAGTGTTAAAAATCTCTAAACCGCTACAATGCGACATCGTCTGCATCAAAGCATTGTTTTTGTTTTTAGGGGAATAAATTTCCCCTCTTAGATTTTTTGGGATTCACCGGAAACGGTTCTAATTATATAAATATATTTACGTTTTTATATATATGTTTTATTAGCGGCAATCAACAAAATGCATGGCTTTAAAAGCCGATTTTATACAGAAATATGCTTCTCAAGATTCAGTTCTGCATACGTAATCTAAGCATTACGCACTCCGCGCACCAGCTTATCAGCCTTCTTTAAAGTAATAAAGTTATTGAGTTGTTTGACGCGTAGCTTGGACCAAATTATGTAATTTGAAAGTGCCAAAATTTGTGCCGCATGAAGCGCAGCTGCCTCAGGATATAACACAGTCGGGCAACCAAGACCGGAAGGCACATTTAAACTAGACCAAACATCAACTTGAATATTCTCTGCTTTTAAAGGTGGGCAATTAATCACTGGATATGTGGTGCTACCAGATAAGACTGGACCTAATCCATTAGAACGACCTGCTACGGCAATAAATATCAAATTATTGATAACACTTTCGTATTCACGGATAATGCGCAAGGTCTCTTCGGGTCCTTTGTGCGCTGACGTAACTCGTAGCTCAGTATTTACTCCTAATTGTTGCAAAGGTGTGGAGATTTTCTCACAATGAGCTCTATCGGAAGCGCTACCCATTAAAATAACCACTAGATGATCCTTAGCTGGTATTATGTCCTTAAGTTGCTTACTAACCCAAATAAAATTACGTTTCACTGTGTCCAGATCGCTATCGGTGACTGTGGAGAGATTACGATATACTTGTTTATCGACCATTAAACGTTTGTCGCCAGACGGCCACAGACGCCATGAGTCTGAATCGATAATGTCGGCGAGCACAATGTTTCCTACAAAAAAAACAGATGACGACGGTGCATTAGCGGTATGCACAAACAAATCGTGAATAAATTTGAAAATAAATAAGACTTTGTAAGTTATCAAAATTAAGTACCTTCAGTATCGATGCCAAATTCTACTTTCATATCAATAAGAGCACAATTTCGGGTGGCCCAAGCTTTCTCTAAAATTTCAAACACTAGTACAGTGGTTCGCTTCATAATGTCCAACTCATCTTGCCCTATTTGAGAACGGATTAAGCTATTGCATCACATTATTCTAAAATATGAATGTTATATTTGTAACCGACCAATTAGGACACCGTTAAAATTGAATTTTGCTGAGATAATTTGTTCATCAGACCATTGAGGATCGTGATTGGCATCATCCTTTAAGAACGTTTCCTGTTTTGGCGGTGAAAACCTTGCAAGAGAAAAAAAAAAAGAAAAAAAGTTCACAAAACCACTTTTTAAGATTTCTGCCATACATATAATATATGTAGCTAAATTTGATTTTGTGCTTATTTGTGAGATTAGTATTACTTCGTAAATCAGTATGTACATCAAAGTTATATTATTAAATCTATAAATTTTTATTTTTCTATTTTGTTTGATTCAGGTTGAGAAAATGTAGATTATAATAGCAATCAACATACAAAGTACTACGCAAAGGCATACAAACAATATGTACATATGTACATACATATTTGCTGATATGGATGAAGGTCAGTTCAAAATGACCGCATATCAAATGATCATATGTGTAACTGGAAAAGTATTGCCTAGTTGAAGATTCTTATCACTACCACAAAAGTGACGATTTTCTAAACATTTAAATTTAATAATTTCATATAATATTTCAAAAAAAAGTTTCAAGATAAATAGTAGACATGATGAGCAATTAATGTTTAAAGTGCCATAACATAATAAGCCATCAAACATTTAACACAAGTCAATATAAATAATTTTACTTCTTATACCCGGAACGGGGTATATTAACTTTGCAACATTAATATCATTTAATACCCTTTCATGCTTTAACGTTTTTCCTTGTTTCCACATACAAATGTACATAAAATTTTTTGAAAGTTTACCTGTATCCTTCCGGCACACCGGTATTACGTTTCAAAAACGAACCGGTAGCTAAACGTCTGGTGACCCACTCGATGGGTATCATTTCACATTTCTTAGCAATGAAGGCATTGCCCGAGCAAGGTTTGACGTAGGCCGTATTTATTCCTACAAGTACACAACACTGATTAGAATTTTGCTTTTGTGCACTCAAAATTTGCTGTGCTTACCCGCTTCGTTTAGAATGCCGAAAACTAGTCCATTTGTTGTGTTAGAAATCTCCGCTTTGCCTTGTAGATCGTGTGCCTTCATACCATCACCAGCTGTAATACGGTCTTTGCTCAGCAACAGGCACAACCCTTGATGTTCAGGGAGATCGTAAACCTGTTTAGTTTTACCTTCAATGAGGATTTTACCCAATTTGTAGCCCGCAACTGTGACGAAATAAAAATGTTGCTTGTATAAAAATGTTGCTTGTATAATGTAAACAAAAGGTAATACTCTTCACACTTACTAGTAGTAGCCATTTTAATGTACTTATTGTTGCAATTGTCGCACGTGCTTTTGAATTTTAAAATAATATTCGACAACAAATGTTTAATTCGATCGTCCGTTGTGTACTGATTGCGGCAAATGAATTGTGGTTCTCTTTATGTCTTTGCATGGAGTCGTTCCAATATGGTAGTGCTGTTATGGTGCTGGCTTGTTCATTTCAGTCACACGCAAATGAAAATAGGCTTTTTGTGTGTGTTTTGTACCAGTGGTCGGCATGAGAGGATCTGTCACTGTGCTGCCGAGCACGAAAAAAAGTAGCCCAGTGAGAAATTAGAATTAAAATTTAGCAAAATTATAAAAAAAAAATTATTGTTCAATATAATTTGAAAATTAAATATGTTTTCACCACGTTGGAGCAAAAATATATGAAAATATTCAATAAAACTATATATAAATAAACGATTATTCAAATCTAAGAGCAAATAATAAAAAGATAAATAAGAAGCTCTACAGTTTCTCGAATTGAGGGAATAATTTATATATATAATGTAAATAAAGCATAAAGTAATTGTTTAATGTTATATCTTTAATACATTCATCTATATCAATCTTTTCATGACAATTTCTTATTAAAATAATATTTTTTAAATGGGTTGAAGAAATTTTATTGCGTTGTTTGGAACTAATAAATTTTAAATCTGAAAAAATTTGTTCACATATTATATATAAGCAGAGGGAAAAAATTATAAACATTTAAATTAATTTTTTTTCAATTCAGTGTAGAATTAATCATCCAAATTTGTGATGTCTTTTAATTATTATCTTTAAAAGACTTGGAACATAAAAGGCATTGCATGGCACCAAAGGCATTAAGAATTATTTGGTTTTGCGCTATAATCTTATGTGATGTTAATTCGTTGCTGGCTCGACCATAGATAACTTGATAGGAATCTCTTTGGTTCGATCTGTGGGCTCGACACCGACTGAACGATTGACCGTAAGCGTACGTGTGAAGTTAGTTTGCACAATTGTGCTAAGAAATGCCGACCACTGGTTTGTACATACTTGTATATGAATAAATTTACCTGTTTACTTATTTTTTGCATAAAGAATTTCACTTTGAAGAAAATATTAAAATTTTATTTTTGGTTTGTACATACTTGTATATGAATAAATTTACCTGTTTACTTTTTTTTGCACAAAGAATTTCACTTTGAAGAAAATATTAACATTTTTTTGAAGTGCAAGGTATTGGTATGGCCACAACAAAATTGTGTACATGCCGGTCATTGTTATGTTGCTGCCCTCTCACAAACGTTCATGTAGTGGGATTCACAACGCCATTTTCAGTTCACTGTCGTGCTGCTGCAGTCTGTCGCGAGCATTGTGTCCTGCACATCAAATGAAAATAAGSTTTTAAGTGTATGTATGTATATACAAAATATTTTTGCTATTTTGGTTTTACAGTGAGATATTTAAGTATTTTTGTTTACAAATATTTTTCTTAGATGTATGAATAGAAATATTTTTTCAGCAAATTTAAAAGAATTGTTGCATACATTTTATGCTTAAGATAAAGATGGGGTTTAAGGGATTCAATTAGATTAAGCCGTCTATTCATTAATGCGGTATCTAATATATCAATTCTGTTAAAATACTATACAGATGAATAAGCAAGATCTAATTAAAATTGAACTATTCCAAATTTTTGTGAAAAAAAATCACGTTATGTGAATAAATGAATGTTTCGATTGCTTTCACCCCTCATTTTGACAGGCTAAAGTTTACGGGGCATCTCGACAGGATAAAATTTCGGTAATATTAAATTTAGTAGAGCGAGTATCAAGACGGTTGTGTTATATTATAAAAATAAAATAACATTTTTCCAAAAAAATAATATTTAGTTTAATATTGTTAATTTACAGAAAATGGGTTGGGTATGAGCAAAGTCTTAACTTTTATAAATTTATACAAGCATAAATCAAAATATTATTGTTCTTTTTAAATTTATTATTTAAATTGATATACAAAATTTATGCCACAATTATTATATAGTAGTCCAAAA